CTTGAGTGACAATTTTTTTGCCAAGGTGTATTAGGATAACAAAAATTGCGCAGGGAATTAACATGCGATTTTGGCTTAGGCCTTTAAGAACAGTGTATAAACATAGCTAATAAACTGAAGTAGCACATAGGATCAATGAAATTGGTGGAGGTGAATATCCATGCCCGGTGGGTAGCATGATGTAGAGAAGTGGAAGAAGAATGTCCGTCTCCCGTATATTTTAATTATCTGTGTATTCTGCAGAAAACAGTGAACATGCATGAGCTTCAAGACCATGGTTCGTACCTACTAAAGATCGATTCAAAGCAGAGGAAGAGGAAGCAAGTGCAGTATTGAAAGAACCTGAACGAACAACAAATGTTTTGGCAGCCATCGTTAGGATAGTAGGAATGCGCAGTGACGAAGCAAATCATACACAACAACAATTTAGACAGGCACGCACACACAATATCAAATAAGACATGCACGCGCCTTGGAATAGAGCAATGCGCTGCATACCTGGGTGGCCGCACGGAGGTGGAGGGGGCTGTCACCGTCGTACCGCTGACGGACATATTTGCTCCCGGTTGGGCTTCTCCATGGGCTCGCTGTCTCAGTCTCCCTCCTCTCTTCATCTCGTCCTCCCCTCCCCTTCTCAGCCCAAGGACGATGACGGGGACGGCTCTTGGTTGCGCTTCTCCATGGGCTCGCCGTCTCCCTCTCCCTCCTCTCTTCATCTCGACCGCCCCTCCCCATCTCAGCCCAAGGACAACGACGCAGACGGCCATCTCCGTGGCCGACCAGCGCCGGCCGGCGCTCAACCTAGCATGACAGAACGAGAAATCGGTGGCGGCGATGAGAACTTGCGGAGGGGGCTGTGGTGCAGGGTGCGGGCGTGGGCGGCAGCTGCAGGTGGAGGGTTGCCACGGGCCAACAAATAGATCTATCACGCAGGTGATCGGGCCCCGCATGAGATCCCACGGCGGATTGTCAGTGAGGTCGGCGGCGGCGGCGGGGAGGAACCTGAAAGAGGGCGGACGCACGAGTTCCGATTGCGGTTTGTCCGTCAGGTCGTCCGCGG